AACAGAGTTTTTTAACTACAAAGGACATAATAGTATTGTCCTCATGGCAGTTGCAGACCACAATTACTGTTTTTCCTACATCGATGTCGGATGTAATGGAATTGTATCCGATGGAGGGGTTTTTCAAAACTGCTCGATATACGAAGCTTTAGAAAAAGGCATACTTCCAGAAGGGACTTGTTTTGTTGGTGACGATGCGTTTCCTCTAAAAACGTATTTAACTAAACCATTTAATTCTGTACCATTATCAAAAGAAGAAAAAATTTTCAATTATCGTCTGAGTCGTGCAAGGCGTATAATTGAGAATGCATTTGGTATTCTGGTTAGAAGATTTCGAATATTTGAAAAAAAAATTGCTTGCAAATTGTCAACTGTTGATAAAATAGTGAAAGCTTGTTGTGCGTTACATAATTGGTTACGTAAAACCGATTCAAACACTTATTTTACACCAGGATCGTTTGATGAAGAAAATATAGATACGGGAGAAATAATTCCAGGAAGATGGAGATCTGAAATGACAAATTTAAGAAATCTTGCAAAACCAAAATCCGGTTACAAATCATCTAGACTTGCTAGAGAGTTCAGAGATTATATTAAAAGATACGTTAACAACGAAGGCGCAGTACCATGGCAAGAAGCAAAAATTTACTAATGTGTTAGTGTTATTAATAACTAGTATTATAAATAACTTTAATAATTAATATTAGTTTTATTTAGCGTAGACTTCCTTCGAGTCAACATAGCTTTAAAATGTGGGGACTTCATTTTCGTAAGTAATAACTGTGATAATATTCTATTCTTAAATAAATACATCAAAGAGCTCGAATACACTGCTTGCCATTTTTGTAAGCAGATATTTAAAAAAGACCTATGGTGTATATTCTTAATAAACAAATATAGTTTACTAGGATAGGATAGGAAACATGCTACATTTTAATAAAATTTGGTATTGTTTCAAGATAAACGGGTCATCCTGTATATTGCGGTATAATAAAAATTAGAACACGTAGGTATTTAGCTTCCGAAAATTATTCTCAGAATTATTGTTAATTACTAAATAATATTATGAAACGTTTCATCCGAAAAGCAATTCAAATATGTGATTATACCTACCTACACCTACATACTAAATAATTTATCTAAATTTATGTACCTAGCTAGTTTATTAAAATTAAACTTACCATGTTGCTTTGAGTCAATCTTTTTCCTTTTGTTTCCTTCATGAATGCATTCATGATGTGGAACCATTTTAAAGTTGGGGCGTAGACGTCGTCAGTTCCCATACCCGATTTAACTGATCTTTCTATTTTCTGTAGTTATTGGCTGTAAGTATTCCGCAAACTTTTTATTTTTTGCCTAGCTTCGGCAACAGTAAATCCCTCAATGCCCATGTTTTGAACTAATTGTTCTAAAGCTGCCGATCTCATTTGATTATTTCTGTAACTTTGTTTGGTAACGTTCCAGAGACATTCGTATTCCCGATAAAGTTCGACAAATTTAACAGTTTCTCCCTCGGACCATTTCATTATTGCACTTTTAACAGTAAAATTAAAAAACAATAGCGAAATATAAAACCGCGACACTGCTCTCACAACGTTATATGCCAGGACACTTGCACACCCGTCTACACTCGACTAGTTACCAAACCACTTGCCATGCTACTTGCGTTGAGGCGAAAATGTGGTGGAAGGGGAAGGACAGTAGGCAAGTAAATAGATGGGCTAGCTATTTACTTACCTGTCCTCGCTACTGGTACAAGCACTTGTACAAGTACTTACCCGGTAGGTTGACATTGGGCTAGTTGTTGCCTTACAAGCTACTGGTACAAGCAACTAACCCGTTTACTATACCAATGTAAACTCCGCTTTAGAATGAAGTGTTGGTCTTACGACGCGCAGCGATGCCGCTCATGTCGGCACAGTGTAAGGTGTGTGGTAGTTTGGTGATAGACGAAGAAATCAAGACAGTATGCGCTACGTTTCAAAAATCTTTACTCATTGATTTAATTGAGTTAAATAAGAGAATAAATGAAAAAGATGCTCCCTGGCAATGTCGGCTAACTCTTTCAACACCGGTGCACCAACAGAGATGCAAACACAACCAAAACGGTCTTTGTCGAGGCCATTTTTGATGACTACTTTAATTATTATTGAAGGACTATCAGCAAATAAAGAAGATCTATTGTCTAATATGTGCAGAGAATACGGTGTCAATGTCCTACTGGTTCAAGAAACACATCGAGATACTGCAAGCCGCAGACCAAGGATTCGAGGTATGAGACTTGCACTGGAGAGACCACACGACAAGTATGGTAGCGCAGTCTTCGTCAGACCAGATACCGACATAGTTTTCACATCTTTATCACATCGAGATGACATCGAGATAATCACAGTGGAACTAAAGTCTTGTAGGTAACGTTTATCTACAAACCGCCAAACGCTGACTTTGTTTTTGAGGAACAAAATAACTTTTTAAAATCAGCAAATAAAATTCTTATTGGGTGACTGACTTCAACTGTCACAGTATCGCGTGGGGTTATAACGAAACATACTCCAATGGCGAAGAACTAGAAAATTGGGCTGAAAACATGAACCTCAAACTTATTCATGATCCAAAACAGAGTGTATTTCATGTATTTCAACAGCGGAAGATGGCGCAGAGGTTACAACCCAGATAATATATTTGTTAGCGACAAGATTGGAGACCAAATGACAAAAATTGTGACGAATGATAAGACGGCATCAAGGAAGAACAAAGTGGGAGTACAACGTAATATACGAAGAAGAGAATATTCTAGGTACCTCCTTTTGTCCGGAAGAGATGAAAGGTGCGATCTACCAAATGAAAGATAATAAAGCGGCTGGCCTAGATGATAAACGAACAGAACAAATAAAGCACTTTGGACTAAAAAATGATTAACTGTTGTGTCCGTACATTTCAAATCTCCAAAAACTGGAGGAAAGCTAGAGTGGTGGCCCTCTTAAAGCCAGGAAAGGATCCAACGGATACAAAGAGTCTCAGACCGGTATCTCTTTTGTGTCACCTTTTCCAGGCGTTCAAAAGAATAATCATAAACCGGATCGCTGAATCTGTGGACACTAAATTTATTCCCACACAAGCAGGATTCAGTCCCGGAAAATGCTGCTGCAGTCAAACTCTTATTTTCACACAACATATGGATTTGAATGAAAAGAAATAACAGGAGTAGCGTTTATAAACCTGACTGCCGCCTATGACACAGTTAAGGTGCAGTCTCACTTATGCGATTGTCGCATGCATTCGACGCAAGCAGCAGTCGCACGCGCTGTGCACTCCTCAAATGATAACTTTATACAAGCGGTCTGCTTTATGCGTCCGACGCAAGGAATCGCATGCGTCTGCTGCATCGACTGCATATGATACCAGTGGTCTGCAGCGACTGCATGCGTCTATTTCATAAAACACTAAAAAATTTAACATAGAATTAGGTGTGGAAACAGTGTGGAAAAACTCCGCTCATTCTAAAAACTCGCTCTAAAATCGCTCCATCTGCTATCAGAAGACAGGTCACGTCAGAGATAGAACGAAAGAAGCTCGAGACGGATCGAAGACACACCTTGTATGACCACCAAGTTCAGCCAAGTAGACTAAGATCTCGGAAAAGCTTACTAAAAAAATCACGAACCCTTCCCGAAGAGCCAAAAACGCGCCGAATACACCTATGGCAAGCGTCAGCTACAACACATTTTACCCCCTCAGAGGGGCTTGCAGAACGGCTTGTCAGGATCGTTTTATTGTTTAAGTAAATAGAAGAGACCCAACAATTTCTCACCCGCAACTCCAAAAGCAGCTTTTGGAAGGTACAGTTGTAAGAGTTTCAGTTGAAAGGACAAGAAGAAGACTTCATGACCAAAAACTACACAGCAGTAGACAGTTACGGATTCCTGAGTTAGCCAGGCAGCACAAGATTGACCGCCTAAATTGGTGTCTTCAATACCAAAACTGGAACATTGGAAATTGGCAAAATTTGCTATTTTCAGACGAACTTAGGATTTATGTAAAATCATTTGCCCGATAAATTTGTGTACTTAGAGGGCGAGGAAGACAAATAAGAACGGAAACAGCCAGATCTGTTCACATACCTAAAGAAAAAAAGTGTTGTGTTGTGGGGAAGTAATATGGTCGGTGAAAAAACTTCTTTAATTTTCATTCAACCAACTTGCTGAATGGTATGTTGATTTGGTTCTAGAACTAATAGTTAGAAAAAATTTAATTTTCATGCATGATAATGCATCTCCACATGGCAGCAGATTCACTATAGACTTCCTTGAAGCAGAAGATGTCGCTATCCTGTAGTGAACTGCTTGCTCACCCGACCTTAACCCTATAGAGCATTTGTGGGATATGTTTAAAAAAAGAATTAGAACTCGCCGGGATAATCCACAAAACACCGTACAGCTAATACAAATTGCTCTTGAAAAAAGGAAACAGCCTACCACAATAAAATGTTTACAATTTGTTTAGGAGCATGTACAAGCGAATTGGAACTTACATAAGGCCTAATATTAGTAACACTGGCTACTAAAAAACATAAATAAATAAAAATAATCTAACCATTATTCCTTGTACATTGAAATTTTGTATGCTATTAACTTTAAAACAAATAATTTCAATTTTATTTTTAAGAATTTATGGGTTTCGTTAATTTTTATGTATTGGTAATTAAATTGCTTTAAAATCACTATGCTTTGACTTTGTAGGTTGATTTTTTAAATTCGCTTAAAATAATAAGTAATATCAGATGATTCCATATAAGTTTGGTTGTGTGTAGGTATTCCTACCAAAAAAATTTATATTATAATTTAATTGTGATGACTGTGAAGAATATTTGAAAGATTGACAAAATTGTCTTAGGATTTGGTTAGAACAGGAAAACATTGGTTTTTCTACTTCCCGGGCGCGATAATCGTTCGAAGCAATAAATTAATAATAAGATAACATAGCATCATTTTGTTGTAATACGTTGTCGTAGACGTTGGAGGATACGCACCTTCCAACATGCGATTTATTCTGCTTACCTTAAGTTTATTTTGTGTGAAAGTGAAATGTTTCAATTTGGACATGGACTTTCCGATCGTTTTTACGGATCGTTCTTCTTCTTCGACTGAAAAAACTTATTTTGGGTATTCTGTTGCAATGTATCCAGGGCGACTTTATAGTGAAAAGTAAGTTTTTATATTTAAATTTTTTATTAATAATTTAAAATTTAGTAGTCATATTTAACTTTAACCCGAAATATTCTTGACAGATTTTCAATAAATTTTATGTATATAGTTATTAAGCATTTTTCGTTTTCCGTGGTCTAAAAAATCTGCTGTCTATGGTTGAACATTGTTTCTTTAAGCTTTTCTCTTGCTTCATTATATAGAGGAAAATGCCTAAAACTGGACCCTCATTTTGTTTTTCAATTCATGCGTATGAAAAATAGCAAAAAAAAAATATTATAAAAGTACATACCATTTACTTCATAATGTTATAATTCATTTATACTAAACTTTCGTTAATAATAATTAAAAATTAATATAAAAAATATGTATTTTCCAAAATATAGCCTTTGGTGAATCCGGAAAATAGTTGCTAAGAGTGGACTCCCTTAAAAATGATTAACAAAGTTGTACCAATAATTGGAAAAAAATATTAAATAAAAGAAAACATGATCTACTTTCTAAACAGAAATTTTATACAGTATATTGCAACAATTTCGAATATAAAAACATAAAATATACAAAAATAGTTAGCAAAATTATTAATTTATCTGCAAAAATCGCATATGTAGGCATCCTTATCAGCCCCAGCACAATCCACATGAGCCCACAACGAACACATAATGCACAAGACCCAAAGTCGCCTTTACAATCTTCCGAATATTTTCTGTCGCAAAACATGCACAAAGCGTTATCCTCTTTAGTTAGTGACATTCCCGGAATAATGTCAAATTCAGATGTTCCAGAAGAGACACTGAGTTCATCTTCTGTGTCTGATTCTTGTTTCTTAAAATTTAGACATCTTTTTACTATCTCTTTCCCTTTTCTCGAAGAGCCTGCTGTCGAACAACCTTTTATGCCGCGGTTGCCTTTGAAACTTCGATCACGTTGTTGTTGTTCAGTTTTCATGGCTTTTTTAGCTTTTTTAGATTCCATTAACTTGAATTTATAAGGAGAAACTGTGATGATTGTTGAACTGCAGGCTTTCCGTCCCCTATTAGTGGTCCTTTTTTTGATTTTTGGAATAGGAGTAATTTCAAACGTGCTTATCATAGACGATTTTGGACTATGAGGATTGTCAGATGTAGATTGTAACACAGAATTACCTCGACCTGCCGAAGATGTTGACGGTTGATTCGGGTAAAACTCTGCATTAACCTGTGATTCATTCATCGTCATAATACATTTGTCACTAATCGCTGTAGAGCTTTCATTACCTGCCGTTTTTTGCTTTGACTTGGATTCGTAGACAGATGAATCTCGCATTTTGTTTGCTTCTTCAATATATTCGGCATCAGAAAAGAGGTGGCTACTTCATCTATTCATTGAAGACGTTTCGCTCTCTAATCAGAAAGCATCATCAGTTCATCCAAAATAGTTTAATAAAATTTTTAAATTAAATTGATTCATAGAATCCTTATTAATTTCTTAGTTCCAAATTATTATAAACCTTGGACTGTTAGAAGTTAAATTAAATCTTCACCTGTGGCTGGCTAACCAGCTACAACTTAGACTCTTATATATGATATTTAGGGATCGACCTTACTTGTTTGTTCATTTTTCTCCGAGTCAATCCCTGAGGGGAAATGGTGTTCTTAAGCACATTTTTCTTTCAAAAGAACAGAATGGATCTGATAGAAAATCAAGGATATTGATATAATTCATAGAATTAAATCTTTAAAATGGTGGTGGGCGGGACATTTGCCAAGAAGAACTGAAAATAGGTGGTCCACTAGAATTACACTGTAGTATCCAAGAGGCGTCAAGAGATCAAGAAGACGTTTTTCCTAAAAATTGTGCATAATTTGGCAACACTGGGATGTCTAAAGTCTACGAATAACACACTATTTACTACCCAGTTAAACCTATATCAGTACCTATATCAGTACCAGTATTTTGGATGTGTTATTGGCGATTAAGACAGTTACTTCTGCATAGCAAAATGTCTGGGTTTTCAAGGAAGAACAAGCATAAAATTGAATATCCAGATATTCCCTCAGCAATAAAACCGATTGTTCATGGAGAAGATTTACCAGTCCACCTTCAGGGAGGATTTACAAAATTTTGCTGTTTTCTTTGTCTTTGGGACAGTTGCGCAACACAGAGCCATTACCAAATTAAAGAATGATCACCAAGAGATCAGTACATTCCAGGTCAAGCTAACGTAAAGAATATACCTACATATTAAACTGGGATTGATTAAAAATTTTGTTAAAGCATTAGATAAAGAAAGAGATGCGTTTAAATACCTTAAATAAATTTTTCCTAAGCTAAGTGACGCGAAAATTAAAGAAGGGATATTTATTGGACCACAAATCAGAAAAATACTGCGGGATCAACAGTTCGATGAAAAATAAAGTGATGTTTGGTTGGATTTATTCGATTTGTTTCAAAACAATTGTTACGAGTTTTTGGAAAACAAAAAAGAATAAGATTTCAAAAATGCTGTAGAAGAACTACTTAAAAATTACTGCAAAATGAGCTGTCGCATGCCTCTAAAAATACACTTTCTGCACTCCCATTTAAATGTTTTCCCGGAAAATTTGGGTGCGGTCAGCGACGAGTAAGGAGAAAAGTTCCACCAGGATATTCTCATAATGGAGCAAAGCTACCAGGGAAGATGGGATGCAGCAATGATGGGAGATTACTGTTGGTTCCTCATGAGAGAAAGTGATACAGAGTATAAAAGGAAATCAGCGTTTGCAAAGAATTTGTGTACAAAAGAATTACCATAGTTTTTTTCTAATTCTGGACAGTTGCGCAACACAGAGCCATTACCAAATTAAAGAATGATCACCAAGAGGTCAGTACATTCCAGGTCAAGCTAACGTAAAGAATATACCTACATATTAAACTGGGATTGATTAAAAATTTCGTTAAAGCATTAGATAAAGAAAGAGATGCGTTTAAATACCTTAAATAAATTTTTCCTAAGCTAAGTGACGCGAAAATTAAAGAAGGGATATTTATTGGACCACAAATCAGAAAAATACTGCGGGATCAACAGTTCGATGAAAAATAAAGTGATGTTTGGTTGGATTTATTCGATTTGTTTCAAAACAATTGTTACGAGTTTTTGGAAAACAAAAAAGAATAAGATTTCAAAAATGCTGTAGAAGAACTACTTAAAAATTACTGCAAAATGAGCTGTCGCATGCCTCTAAAAATACACTTTCTGCACTCCCATTTAAATGTTTTCCCGGAAAATTTGGGTGCGGTCAGCGACGAGTAAGGAGAAAAGTTCCACCAGGATATTCTCATAATGGAGCAAAGCTACCAGGGAAGATGGGATGCAGCAATGATGGGAGATTACTGTTGGTTCCTCATGAGAGAAAGTGATACAGAGTATAAAAGGAAATCAGCGTTTGCAAAGAATTTGTGTACAAAAGAATTACCATAGTTTTTTTCTAATTTTGGACAGTTGCGCAACACAGAGCCATTACCAAATTAAAGAATGATCACCAAGAGATCAGTACATTCCAGGTCAAGCTAACGTAAAGAATATACCTACATATTAAACTGGGATTGATTAAAAATTTCGTTAAAGCATTAGATAAAGAAAGAGATGCGTTTAAATACCTTAAATAAATTTTTCCTAAGCTAAGTGACGCGAAAATTAAAGAAGGGATATTTATTGGACCACAAATCAGAAAAATACTGCGGGATCAACAGTTCGATGAAAAATAAAGTGATGTTTGGTTGGATTTATTCGATTTGTTTCAAAACAATTGTTACGAGTTTTTGGAAAAAAAAATATATATATATATATATATATATATATATATATATATATATATATATATATATATATATATATATATATATAGTTTATAAGAAATTTTATAATAAATAACATTATTCTATAACTCAAAATATATACGTGGTGAGAAATTTTGGTGTTTGAATTCGCAATCAGAACTTTTCTTTTAATTTGTTGACTAGTGTTATTATTAAAAACAACTAATACATAGAACATACTTATAAACAAATAAAAACTTACGGAGCGAAATCATTAAGATGCAAATCAGCACATCACAGGACTTAATCAAACATAATAACACTAACAATGACACAAACGTAATTACTACTACCATTTTTAAAATACATTAACTTTTTTTGTTTAGATATTAAAGCAGAAATAACATTATTAGAGAGGTAGCCTTATGTTATTTTTGAATTACTATAAAGTGTTTAAAATGTTACAGTATATATTACTAAGATTACTAGTGCCTGTTTTACTATTCATGGCATTCCTAGTTTACTTGATATGACACATCTCGAGAAACAATCTATTTTTGTAAGTACCGAATGATTGCAATATTTTCACGTTAACATAATCAAACTGATGGCCTGTTTTTATAAAATGTTCGATAACAGCGCATGTTAATTTCTTCTATTGCAGTCACTTTTGTGTTGTGTGATACTCTGTTTCGGCCACCGCTCGGTTTGTCCAATTTGTCTAATATAACATCCCTGGCAACTTACTGTAATTGATATATTTATGACATTGACATTACTGGTGTCCAATCTTTAATTTTAGAGAATATGATTTTGCATTGAATGTTACTGTATTTGCTCATTTTTATATTTGTTTAGTTAGTTTTGTTAGTAAGTGGCAACTATAGTATGCTTTATAGGAACTTTTTTTTTTTATTTATAGATGGTCAGATTTTTTGCGCTTTCTTTATTTTAAGATATTTCGACATCATTCTCGCCGATTTCCCCATGTTTTGATCATTTTGTATATTTATCAAATCCTCTCGGCTGAATCTTCCACTGATTATATTAAGGCAGCACTTCTGCATATAGGCAGTAGTATAAGCCGCCCATTAGTATGACCTCTTCTAATTCATTTTTCGCGATGATCACACCGCCTTTCCTTTGTTTTCTTGTTCTCTCTCGCCTTCCTTCACAAGTTGTTGAATGATTTATCTTCATTTCTTTCTATGTTCTATTTTTGT